ATAAATGACTCGTTAATATTTAGTTTAAAAATTTGGGTCTTTGAAATATAATTTCGCTATTATGTACTAATTTTGTACATTTAAAAAAAATAAACAACTTTATATACATAATTATTTGTTTTAATAAACTAGCTGATAAGGTTAAATGACTCGTTAATATTTAGTTAATATTTTAGTTTAAAAATTTGGGCCTCTAAAATCAAGCAGGGCTCATTTTTTTCAAATTTGCCATATATTTTTAATATCAAATTCAATACTTATTTTTAATTGTCAAAATATTTTATTCGTGTCAAATTAATTCGTCAAATTAACGTTTAAAGAAGTTAAAGAAAAATATAAGCGCAAACTGGACTCACATTTGAATCCTTCTATAGTTGACGTTACTCAACCTTTTGGCATTAGGAGGTTGAAACGACAATGGCCCCTAGACTTAGTCTTAGATTAGGTCTAATATATCATACTAATTGTAAAACTGAGAAGTTCTCATTGGAGTTCTTCTTAGACATCACTCATAAATTTTGTCATTTTAGCTCATAGGAATCTTTATGTATTTCTGATTGCTAAATAAAACTGAGTTCAAAAAAAAAAAAAAAAAAAAATTAATTCGTCAAATGTCAAAGTTTAATATGAAAATTCTAATTTATTTAATATGAAAATTCTAAATTATAAGTATAATAATTTTTTAAATTAAGAACTACAAAATGCAGAAACTATGTTCTGTTTCGATTGCTTTCGGATGTGTTTTCGAAAAATACATTTTACGATGAAAGACGTCAGAAAGGTCCGTTTGATTTTTTTTTAAATGTAATTTTTAATATGTTTTTTCAAATCGAAATCATTTTAGGAACCTAACAAAAGTGAAATTAACGTTTTGTATGACGGAGGAAGACGTAAGGTAAATTAATTAATTAAATTTTTCATTAATCGAGAAATCTAATTTTTTAAATCATTGGATGAACTTTCATTATTTTTAAAAGTATTTAATTCTAGTTTTTATTATTTTTAAAATACCAATTCTAAATATTATATATTTATATATTATTAATGTTTTGTTGGATTATATTGGATTAATTTTCATTATTTCTAAGAATCCAACTATCAACTAAATTATTGCTTTATTATTAATATTTCTATAACACATTATTGATATTTCGTCGAATAAAATAATATTGCATTAATTTGATGCTTAAAATAACAATGTTGTGGTTTTGAAATTAAATTTTGCATCAAACACAAACATAAATTTATGGAAATTATTGAAATATACATTAAATGTACATCTATTATGTAAATTAATAAATTGGAGTAATAATGATTTAAATTATAAAATATTTTCTGCATACTGCTTTACCCCTAAAAAGTTTTTTATTAATGTATAAAAAATATTTATATGTTCGTTAAATAATCAAAATATTTTTTCGCACTAATTTTTTTTTATTAATAATAAAAATGTAAATATTTTAGACAATTCCAAAAAGCACTACCGGTATTGTAAGAGGAAAATCGATTATAAAGGTAATTTAAGTAAATTTTGTACTTTCATAATTATTTTTTAATTTTAAATGGAATCTTAAATAGCTATAACATTTAATTAAAAAAAAAACTTTAAAATTTATGAACTAACGTAAAACCACTATTTTTTAATATTAATTTATCATTTTACATATAGTATAAAATTTAATATTGATTATAAATTTATAAACAGCTATTAAATTATCATAAAATAAAATAATTTATCAGAGTTTCTGGTTTTATAAAAATAATGAGGCTAAATATAAAAATAATTCTATAAATTTCATTACAGACAAATTTTCATTCATTTTATAAAGAAAGAACATGAATTTTATTATTATTATTATCTTTTTTTGTAAAATATTTTTGAACAATTATTTATTGTTCGACGTAAGATTTTTTTTTCATATTTTAGGCAGATGCAAAATCACGTTCTGAATTTGAAAGGATAAACGTAAAGGTATTCCTAAACTAATTAGCCTTTTAGACTAAATGAAATCATTTCAAGAAATTTATTTTAATCAAATTAAATTTCAATACGTAACACATTAATAATAATTCATAACTCTAATAAATTAATTATCGTATGGAAATATAATTGTTCTATATTTTAGAACCGCGATGGAAGTGTAAAGCATGTACATAAAGGGATGAAAAAGGTAAAATTGCATTTTTATTCTAAAAAAAACGTGTTTCGGATTTTAATAAACATATAATAACAGGTGCATCTACATTTTCATCGTAACAAGAATAAAGAAAATTCTAAGCAAGTTGCTTTCACGGAGGAGGTAAATCGATAAAATTAATAATAGATATATAAAAACATATTTATTATAAAAAATAAAATAAAAATGTATAATATAAACACTATGACAAGAAACACTCTTTCTAGTGTCTAGTTAAAATAAAATTAAAAACTATCACTCGCAATTTATTACAAAACTCTTTCCAAGAATTTCTCAGTTGAATCGATATTATTTATAAACTTTGTAGGCGATACTTAGATATCAAAAGATTGTCATTGAACATTCTCACAATTTCTAAGTATAATAAATGCACAAATATCTACAATAAATGTATATATGTAGGCGGTATTAAAGCAATGAATAATATTTAAATGAAAACTTAAAACTTCCATTCATATCTTTAACAAGTGAGTGCAAAAATAATACTTTACAATTTATTTTAAGTTTTGCGGTGACATTTTACTTAAATAGAAAATAACGAGTGGGTAATTTATACACAATTGTACTTCATCTTTTATTAATTTTTTATGCTTACAACTAGTTAACAAAAATATTTGCTTCAAATATTAATTCTGTTTTCACAATTTGACGTGGGCTCATGTTTCTTCCTAAGTGGTCTCCGTAGTTCGTTAACGCCTCTTTGTTAATTATTCATGTAAATATTTTGAATGTAAATACAAAAAGAAGCATTTGCTTAACATAGATAGGATACCTACTATTATATATGCACTTTTGAGTAAAATACCCTCTAGGCAAAATTTGGATTACAGAATATTATTCTGCATTTTTGTTAAGAGAAATTTTGGATTTATATATTACACTAACTGATCCCGGCAAACGTTGTATTGCTAAGTAAGGTATAATCTAAACAATTTCTAGAGAATCAAAAATATTTATACTCTAAGTGTATAAGGATGTGTTGTTTGAATGCTATATACAATGAAGTATTATAAAAACAATAAACCCCATTAGTTTGTCTATATTTTGTCTGGAAGCTGTATACACTTTCTATAGAAAACTTGGTATAATCGAATTCAAGTCTTTTTTGGTCTTTCGACTTATTGATTACGTTTCAAGTTTTTCAGATTTTTTTTGGATTCTGGATTTTGTGTATAATTGTAAATAATACTACTGAGCTTATACAAAATTTTCAAATTTCTGCGAGGAGAGATAGAAAATGAATTAAGTATTTCTACTTTGACCTGTTTTTTAAAAAGTTTCAAGTAACATTTGATGAATTAAAGTAAATTTAATAAAAAATATATATGTAGAGCAGAGCGAGGCACAAAGGTCAAATTTGACTTTGAGCAAATATAAATTTTATTATAAAAATCAAACCAAATATATCACAACAAATAACAAATTTTAAACAAACAATTATCTGACTACGTTCAGTAAAACTGCCAACAACTTCATCATTGTAAAAATGTGCTTTTTTGATGTCTTTCAAAAATACGTTAAATAGATGTTTTTACACTATATGTGGGGAACGGCCAGGTGGCTAACAGGTTTAATGTCTTATTTTAATTTTAAAGGTATTTTACAAAATAATTATATTTTTAACTAATGCTAAAAATCTACCAACGGAAGAAAATATTTTTATTATGGATTTTAAAACATTACCGTTTATCTCCCGATAGCAAAGTCATGAAAATCAAGGTTATAGCTGGTTATACATCTTTTTCCCCCTACTTTCAAATATTGCTGTTAAACAATGCTTAACTTTACTGGTTTTTGACACATTGGTGGTGGACCTTTTTAACCCCGAACCTTCATATATTACTATCTATTCTTCGATAAATTCTGGGAAATTATAACTGGGAAAATGTTATTCAACAAAATGTCCCTTTGATCGATACCAAATTTAGGTTCTGAATTTAAATATCATAAATAAAAAATAATATAACCTAGAAATTGTTTTATAAATACCAATGAGTATATAATTATACAAATGAGATCTTTCAGGGCACCGTGTTTGAGAAAAATATGCCAAAAGGTGCATTTTCATATTAACATTTCAAAAAAGTTGATATTTTTTAAGTTTTTAGTAACACTTGCGATACGTTTAATAATGTTTTTGTGTATAAATAAAACTACGAACAAAACTACTTACTGCAATTTAATCATAATTAAATAATATTCACGTAAAACATCCTTTTAAACGTTTTTGAACAGAATCTGTCAAAAACGTTTGACATTTGACGTATTAGCCACCGTCCATTGTTTTATTCAAATTACGCTTCTACAAAAATTTTCAAATTAAAAATGTAAAGTTTCTACGCGATTTTGAAATAATATGTCACCTTTCCGACAACCTACTGTTTAGCACGAATTTTTCAAGACTAAGGCTGGCCAAATCAGTTTATCCGTTTTCGACTTTTAACGGATCATTTTATCGAGCTCCAATTTTATATATAAGATAAATTATATATTCTGGTCCCCAATTCCTCTCACATTAATATGTTCACTCCGTTACATTTCATTTCGTTCGAAATATCTATTTATATGATAATTTATTCCACGCAAGGATCACACAAGCGCTCAAAAATATGACATATAAATATGTCATGTACCTTCTACATGTTTAGTAATTAGAATGTCGGCTGCAGAGAGAGAGTAAAATATAAAATAACAGACAAAAAATGTAGAAAATATCTCCACATCATAACAATTTTTCTTATAATATAAATCGCATAATTTTTCAAATGCAAAAATAAATTTCATCTATCCTCTATCCCTTAGGAGCAAGCCCGTCCCGGTGGCGGTAACACGCTCAACCATCAATCCAACCAACAACAAGACTTAATTTTAACCCCGGAAGAGGAATCTCAACCGACGACCCCGGTCGTGGTTCAGCTCATAGGTTCGGGACCCACGCAGCTAAGGGCGCCCGGGTCGAGGCGCCGAGGAGCGATTTCGGCTGAGCCCGTCACCGAGGAAGACGCCACGAACTATGTCAAGAAGGTCGTTCCGAAGGATTATAAAACGATGGCGGCCCTGGCGAAGGCGATAGATCGGCATGTGCTGTTTTCGCATTTGGACGACAATGAAAGGTAGTAAGGGTCGTATTTGAAATAGTTGTGAATAGTTTGTACCAATTACTAGTATCTACTTATAATTTTATTTTTTTTTGATATCTAATATTTTATACTTTTCAGATCTGATATTTTTGACGCCATGTTTCCAGTAGTATGCCAACCAGGCGAGTCTATAATTCAACAAGGAGACGAAGGTGATAACTTTTACGTTGTTGACGAAGGAGAAGTCGAGGTAACTTTCAATTTAATTTCGAAATGTGTAAGAATTGACTTAGTTAATCGAAATTAAAATTTATATATTTAGATAAAATTTTCAATTCTTCATTTCAAAAATAAAGTTATAGCTTATAATTAAATCTACACATCGCGATTTCGAATATAATTTTCTCGAACACATTTAAATTGACTGTAATCATATTAAGTCACACTAGATGCGCCAATCTAGAAAAGAGTCATTTATGGAAATTTAAAAAAACAAAAAAACTAGTGAATCCATCTATTTGAAATTTTGGGGATATGTTTATACATGTTTCGAGAATACACAGTAAAATTTTTGAAATAAAATATTAAATATTTTTGAAACGACATGCAATCTCCGCCGGCGCCAAACAAAGTCCTCCACTTTTTGCAGCCTTTTCCGTTTATAAAACATAATAAAAAAAATCTCGTTAAACTAGATAATATTGTCTGTACAATGACTTACGATAAAAAAAAATACAAAAATTGACAATATGGCGGCGTTTTTAAAAAGATAGTCGAATTTTACCCAAAATTTTGGTCGTTTTTGACCTGCCAAAATTCGATTTTTGATCAGATCAAAAAATCGATAGGTCATTGTATGGAGAAATATATATATAGGACATATAAAAAAGATTCGATAGCGATCGGATGATTTATTTTTGAGTAATCACTGCAGCAAATTCGGAAAATGCTTTTTCGAGAAAAACACGTTTAAAGATAAAATTATTCTATATACTACATATACTCTTTCAAATGGCTGTAACTCAAAAACTATCTAAGGTATCGATTTAAACTTTTAGTATGTTAATTTGACAAATTCAAAATTCGATTTTTTGAAAATTTCACACTAAGTGTGCCCCTTAACTATATTGCACAGACATGTGTTTGTATGCCCTAAAATTGTAGCTTATTATTTTAAATTTGAATGAAATAATAATGTTCGACTCATCACATCACAAAAGCAACTTTTGACATAAATTTTGACTATATTTTCTCAAACTTGAATGAATTTTAACTTTAAACTATTTGTCGTAGGACCTTAAAATTTTAGTATGTTTTATAAGATCATGATATCTATTGCCAAAAAAAGTTCATAAAAATCGGCACATAAATTTTTGAACAGATTCTTTCAAGAAAACGGCTCTATAGATTTTTATCTAATACTAATTAGTATCATTCCCAAACAAAATCTTTCGAAAAGTTTTTGATTTTTTAAAATCGATTCAATACAAATATAAATACAAATATAAATATAAATATAAATGCAAATATAAATGCGAATACAAATGCAAATACAAATATAAATGCGAATACAAATACAAATACAAATACAAAATATAAATATAAATATAAAATGAAAGTTCTAATTTTAACAAACGCCAAAAAAACGATACTAATTTTCCCAAACTTTGACGAATTTTTAAAATTAAAAGTATGATCTGCAAGGTATGGTATATAATACTGTCAAAAACAAATTCATAAGCATCGTCGAAAAATTTTTTTAACCAATATCGTTCTAACGGTTTTTAAATTTTCAAAATCGATTCAGTATTGAGAGCTACAACAACACTTTTCTGCTATTTACAAAGAAACGGCTTGCCTGATCGTCGCACAAAATTGATAAACGCTAGTCCTCATCGAGATACATCGAATAGCTTTTAAATTTTTGAAATCGGTACAGCCGTTTTTTGAGAAAACGTCGATTTACGGCAAAAAATCTGTTCACATACACACCCACATTCATACCTACTTTTTTCAAATTTGGTCTCATTCGATTCAGAATGACTTGGAACGTCGGAAAAACATAAAATTAGCAAATCGGATTTTTTTATGAAAACAAACTTCGGCAAGTTAATGAATGATTGTTACAGCTATAATTTAATAATAAACATTTTTCATTCAAAGTGCGTACGTAAATATTTTTCGACTTGAAATTCCTCCAAGACAAAGAACACTAATTGTTTTTCGACGAAGGCGGGGTCTTCTAACAATGATATTTTATTTGTTAATTGTACCAATTGTTGAATGGCTCTAATTTTGAATGAAGATTTGAATTTGACTCTTGCATTGTTTTACTAATTCCATTGTTACACATATGGAGTCATAATACTTGCAAATATTATCAACACCGTAGTAAAATAACAAGCATGATTATTTGGTATTTTTGAATTGTTTTTGTTACAAGTTATCTAATTCTTTTTTTTTAGATTTATGTAAACAACCAGTTAGTGACTACAATAGGCGGCGGGGGCAGTTTCGGCGAATTGGCTCTTATTTTTGGAACCAGACGTGCCGCCACTGCCCGGGCCAAAACCAAAGTCAAATTATGGGGAATCGATCGGGATTCCTACAGAAGAATTCTCATGGGTTCTACGATCAGAAAACGCAAGATGTACGAAGCCTTCTTGTCCAGGGTCAGCATACTCGGTAAGATAAATCATGAGATAAAAAACCTGTACCTTCATACATGAAACTAGTGGTGTATGGCATCGTGCCTTAAGGCAAATTGCTGGAACTTCCCGTACCGTAATTCGAGAAGTTTTAAACGTTTTCAAATATATTATTACAAATACTGTAACTTTCATTATTTTTGCTACCTTGTTATATCTGAACAAATCATAAATCAATTCATCTCCAGAACATTAACAATCGTCATTTCATTTCGAATTCAATTTCAAAAGAATTGAAAGTTGTCTAATTAATTGCAAACAATTCTGTGCGACATTTTCACTTACACTGTGCTTAGCTTGGCAGAATTTTCACATTTTTCAATAGTTTTCACAAAATTGTAAAAGTGCGCAGTCTAAACGCACTTGGATAAACATTTGTACCAGAGTGGCGCTTAGACTGTGCTTAGCCTGGGTAATTTTTTGAATTTTTACTCCAAAATTACAAAAATATTTTATGGGAAATAAAAAAAGATGTAACAGTTTTTTATCCTCAAAAGTCATTGTTTTGTCAATACAATTAATATTTTTGCCAACTTTGCCAATTTTTTTATTTCATTTGATCGAGTTTTTTTGCCAATTTAAGAAGATTTTTTCACAAAAACGATTAATTCGAAAATTTCTAAAATTAATTAATAAAACTTAAACATTTTTTAAATTGATTAGTAATAAATTAATTCATTTTTTGATTATGATATGATTTTAATTTTAATTTTTCTAATTAGTTTCTATGATAAAAGTGATAATTGCCCAATCATTTTAAATATAAAATTAATTAAATTAATCAAATTTAAATGGTTAAACTCAATTCGTATGCAGTCAGACATTATTTTACTAATTTTGTTTAATTAATTTTTATTTAATTTTAAATTAAATTTTAGTAAAATAAAGTAATGTAAACAAATTAAAAATTGAACAAATAACAAATATTTTAACTATCATATATTTTACTTGAACAATTCTGAGTAGTATAATACATTTTTATATTTATAATTTTATTTAACTAGAAAATAATATACGCGTAAAATAGTTTTACCAATAAAAGTAGATTTTTATTACAAAGTTGGCCTTGTAATAAAAATCGTGTTTAGTCTGGGTAATTTTTTAAATTTTTACTCCAAAATTATAAAAATATTGTATGGAAAATAAAAAAAGATGTAATAATTTTTTATCCTCAAAAGCAATTCTTTTGTCAATACAAGCAGAAAGTTTTTTAGATCATTCAAATCGGACACTTAGTTCACTCTAAAATTGCCATTTTTTGCACATTTAGCTCTGTATCTCCGTAACGGCTGGACATGCCTTTGCCAAAAACTAAACACCTCTTTTCGCAATCATTACAAATTAAATGTTTATTAAATCAATCAAATCCGATACTCCGTTCTTCTAAAAACTCGATTTGTATTTTCTGCACTCTTTGCTCCGTATCTCCGTAACGGCTGGACATGCCTTTGCCAAAAACTAATGAGCACATCTCCCTATCAATAGGAATGGTAAATGAATCATTCGAATCGGTTGATCCGTGCACCCGAAAAGGGGGACGAAAAATTGTATCCATACATACACACACACACATCCATTTTTTCTGAGGTATGCCAAAATGTTCAGAAACCTTCAGAAGGTCAAGAAATTACTATAACTACCCATGGCAGTATGTTTTTAATAGCTCTTTTCATATTTATATAAGTTAATTGAAACAAATATATATATGCAAACAATATTATATTATGATAGTATAATGATATTCCCAGAATAGGTGTATACAATTTGTATCTTTGTGTAAAAATCAATGTATGTATTTAAGTCAAATAAAGCAAAATTTCAAATTAAAAAAAAATAATTACTATAACTACCCTACGTGAAGTTAAAAATATTTATTATCATGTATCATTAACTTCCCGTAGGGCAAGTTATAGTAATCGCAAAAAAATCGAAAATGAAGATTTTTATATATCTTTACGTTTCAGAGGTTTCTGAACATTTTGGCATATCTTAAAAAAAATGGATGTATGTGTGTGTGTGTGTGTATGTGTGTGTATGTGCGGATACAAATTTTCGTCGACGATTTCGGGAACACGGATCAACCGATTTGAATAATTCAAAAAACATTCGATTCGTATTGATAAGGAGACGTGCTGATTAGTTTTTGGCGAAGGCAGGTCTAGCCGTTCCGAAGATACGGGGCAAAAAGTGCCGAAAACGGTAACTCAGTTTCTAAGAGTACGGAGCGTCCGATTTTAATAATTCAAAAATCATTTTACTTGTATTGACTAAATGAAGAACTGTTCAAATTTTTTGAAAGGCAGGTCCAACGACTTTGGAGATATAGAGGAAAAAGTAAAAAAATGAGCCATCTGGCGGTCAAAAATGAACATTAGATATATGCACATCAAATTATCAGATATTTTATAGAGATTTTAACAATAAGTATAAATTTTGTTTACATTCCTATGGGTTCCGTACCAATGTTCACGCGTTAGACGGCGACGCGGCGCTAACGCGCTTTGATATTTCGTCTTTATGCAGTTAAAACAGTACGATTGCTTTGAAAAAAAGTTCAAAATATCCAAAATATTTCAAAATAAATGATTTAAGATAGAATGATTTATTATGGTTCGAAATTCTATTAAAAGTTCCGAATCATTGATCAACTTTTATTGATTATTATTATCGATTATTTTTAATGACTCGAATTTAGAATTGCGGTACGGGAAGTTCCAGCAATTTGCCTTAAGGCACGATGCCCTAATTGCCTTAAGACAGAATTCCACTTACAGCTAGTTATTACCATGTATCCTTTACCCTTTTCCCTCAGAATCTCTCGACAAATGGGAGCGCCTAACCATCGCCGACGCCCTAGAGCCGGTTACCTTCGAGGCGGGCGCGACTATAGTGAAACAGGGCGATCCTGGTGAAGATTTTTTCATAATCGTCGAAGGGACTGCTAAGGTGTTACAGAAACGTGTCGATAGTGATACACCAGTCGAGGTTGGCAGATTGGGACCCAGTGATTATTTCGGGGAAATTGCTTTGTTACTGGACAGGCCAAGGGCTGCTACTGTAGTCGCTTGCGGGCCTCTTAAGTGCGTGCGGCTGGACCGAGCAAGGTAAGGGATGGTAATAGAAATATTTATATATATATATATATATATATATATATATATATATGTATAAATATATATACCAGCAAACCCCGGCTTTTATTGAAATCCACCTGATAAAAATTTGAATATGTTTGATAACCAATATTTCAACATTTTTTTAAAAAATATCAATCCAAAAATAAATAAAATCCGTAATGAAATTTGAATTTAATAGTTTAATACTCTGGATTATAATGTTTTTTAAACTAATAGTATTTTTTAAAGGATTTATTAAAGTTTTGAATGAAACACAGCATTTCAAAATTTATTATAAATAACTAAGTTATTTTTTTTTTTTTTAATTACTATATTTTTTACAATTGCTTAACATCTAGTAACAATAATGAACAATTATATAAATTTAATAAAAAGAGCACAAAATAAAGAATAGAATTCGCAATAAAATGATATCCGTAGTATGTTGATTTAATATAAAATAAAAGCAAATAATAATACAAATAAAATTAATAAATAAACTAAATAAAATTTCTGAATAATAAAAATAATACTAGAAAAACAATAAAGTTGAATAAAAACAATCATAAATGGAGTCGTAGTCGTAGAAAAACACATATTTTAACTCTTACATTTTTTTTTTTTTAATTTAACATAATAATCAAGCATTTTCAATTTGGTTTGAAAATAAATTGAAATTGTTTTGAAAGAGAATTTTATTTGTGTTAAGACAATTACGAAGGACTTTTATAAAAATATTAAATAGAAAATGTTAAAATATGTGGCATTCAATGTGATAAACTTCATAAATGAGCAAATATATAATGTGATATATATATATATATATATATATATATATATATATATATAAATATTAGGGTGGTCCTTATATGGACATTTTCGAATTCCCTTGCTCCTAAGGGCTCAAATGGTTCCAAATTGATAAAAAACAATTTTCTTAAAGTTTTAGCTTTTAATATTATCTTTTAGATAGAGCGCAATTCAATCAAAGTTTTGCATGGAAAATTTTTCAAAAATTTTGCAGAGCGTCGAATTTTCAATAAAAAATGACTAGAATTTTCACTTATTTTATATGTCGCTAAGTTATACCTAAAAAAATTTTTCTAATTTTCAAAATTATTTTTCATGCTATTTCCATACGAAGTTTTATTGAATTGCGCACTATCTAAAAGTTAATATTAAGAGCTAAAACCTTCATAGAATTGTTTTTGAAGTAAAACTTCTTTAGGCGCGATATGGGTGTAAAAATTTTTAGGCGCGACACGGGTGTAAATCCGTACAAATGCAACGAAAATGCCAACGTGTAGTTGAACACTACGACGCCGTAAGCGCTGATGTCGCGAGTATCCACTCATATCGCGTCATGTCATGCGTAAGTCGAGCGCTAAACCCTATATGAACTTGCATTAATTGAATCACGTTTTTTATGTTATGTCCTCATGGAATAAGACTTTTCTTAGAGAATAAATGTGCCATGGAATATAATAAATTTATATTGAATCTCGTTGAAGACAAAATAATATCTACTGCCACGGATATTTATGTAGGTTGCCATGCGACAGATCAACAATCATACATTCGTCAGCAGTTTCACAAAAATCGGTTATTGATACCGGGGCTTTGCCGTATGAAATAATTTTAGTTCTGAATAAATTTTACATAATAACAACTAATAGTGATGTAAGTGATGGCTTAGCTAATGGTTGTGTGGGAAAATTAGTGTACATAGAACGTGGCGATAATGATGAACTTCTACGTTTATGGTTTGAATTTCCCGGTAAGATAGGTAACAAAATTAGGAAGAAAGCTTCACATCATATTCAAACTCTTAATATCAGTAGGACAGCTGTGCCGATGCTCAGGAGATCTTATTATTATTGATGTTATATGATTATTAAAAGATGATTTTTAAAATTCAAATATGATGCTTTTTTATTTTTATCTTAATTGCCTACTCATACAATATTAAAAGTTTTACTTCAATCGCGTGTGATCCTTACGCGCACTCTTTTTTTATCAATTTGGAACCATTTGAACCCTTGGGAGCAAGGAAATTCTAAAATGTCCATATTAAGGACCACCCTAATAAATACGAATATTTTTTTTATTATTATTGTGTGTAATTTGCAAATAATGCATTATTCTAGGTGTGAATATATCTATATCTTATTATAGATATGAATGTGTCCATCAATTCAAATGTTGATATTTCTAAATCTTTATTTTATATTTATTAATTACTTTAAGGTATTTTTAATGTTTTTTTCTAAATGCGTTATTATTTATAGGTATAGAAGAATTTTAGCAAAAAATCGTAGATTGAAATCTGAGAAAAAAGCGTTGATGTATTGATGTATTATGTTAAATGTTGAATGTTGTTGTTAATAATAATAAACTTGTATGATTTGTGTTTTGAATGATTGAGTTTGATATATATATATATATATATATATATTGAATGGTAGAGTCTTGGATTTGTGTATATTTTGTAGAGTTTCGAACAAGAATCCAAAAATAATACAAAATAAAAAACAAGAAAAGTTTTTAAAAAAACAATTTCTTTATTTAATTATTTGTTTATTGTCGACGTTTCGGAACTAGGTACGTTCCATCTTCAGGACATCTGTCAAGAAACATGATCTTGATGAGATTTTTGCAAACAATATGTTTAGGAAAAGAAAATAGATTTTTCTTAAATAATGAATTAAATTGTAAAAAATATAATAATGTACAGAAATATGATAATATGTTCAAAATAAAAATGATAAAAATAAATGAGTGGATTATCAAAACAGGATATTAAACATAATAGAAAATTTTTTTGAAAGTTATGGAAATTTTTTAAGAAAAGGTTAATGACAAAGTTGAATTAATTACCTGTATGTTTGAATATTTGTTAGCACTTTTTCACTAAACAAGCTTTTTTAACAAAAATGATTTTGTGAGTTAATTTTCCACCGAATAATTAGATTTTGTAAATCAAAATTACTAAAAAACTTTTCTTGTTTTTTATTTTGTATTATTTTTGGATTCTTGTTCGAAACTCTACAAAATATATATATATATATATATATATATTTATTTATTAATTTATAAAAAAAATCTACACAGTTCACAGACATCCAAACATTTATTAAAAATAAAACTAAGAATAAAACTTTATACAATTTGTCAGCATGTTTTTTATATTTTTAATTTATATTTAGTGTTCATGTTTATCACGTTATATTTTGATTTTAATTTGATTTTTCAAATCATTTTTTTTTTTCACAAATTAATCAAGTTTTTTGTTTGTCGTGTAATGTTTTTTTTTCATTTTAATTATATTTTTGTGCATTTTATGCACTATAAAAATGAATCAAATTCAATTGTTTTAGCGTAACGTCTAATTTTTTAAATAAGCAAATAATAAACGTTTATAAATAAATAATCAGAATGTTTGCATTAATGAAAATAATTTTATATATAAAAAATTACGAAAGTGACCAAATTATTTGATATTTGCTCAAGCTTTAAATTTAGTTTATCAACTTCTTTTTTTTAATTAGGCAAATTTAACAAATGTAACAAACATTTTAGATAAAAGTAGTATTTTCATTAAAAAAAGTGACTAAATTATTTGTTCATAATTCCAAAATACTTATAGAAATTTAATTTTTTTTAGCTTATTATTATTAAGAACTGAAATTCATTTTTTGCCTTCTACCTATATCTAATTTTTTAAATAAATAAATATATACGCATATTGTACACATTATTTTTACAAGGAAATTTAGATTTTATATAAAAACTAACTAAATTGTTTAATGATAATTGCTCATGAAATTAAGAATTAAAAAAAAATTAAGAATTTTTATAAAAAAACAATATTATAAAGTAAAATTTATTCATTAGAAACAAATCTGTATTTTAAAATAATTAAATATGTATATATACCAAAAAAAATTTGGTAATAATTGCAAAATCAATTAACGTTTTTTTTTTAATTTATCAACATCAAATTCATCAAAGAATTAATTTTATCTATCTTTTTTAAATAAATAAATATTAATTAATTGATTTAAATAAATAAGTATGCGTTTGAGTCTATAGAATGGTTTTACAAATGGAACTGATATTTTCATAACAAAGTGACGAAATTATTTATATATTAATTAAAATAAATACAATTATATATTCATTGTTGCTGCAAATAATAACAATGTTGAAGTAAAAATTTAAAGAGCAAATTTTTTATAAATGTTGATAAAAATATGGGCATGAAAATATGTATTTTTTAATAATTTTTCGAATATATGCAAGTAGTCATTTAATGAATTTACTAGTAATTCACTAATAATAAATAAGATTATACTAGCCAAAATATTATGGAAATTTGTAATTCAAGAGTGTGATATGGATTGGAAACGCATTGTGAGAATTAGTTGGCGAACACATTGAGAAATTGATGAACACAAAGCAACTTTTACATAAGGTTTAATATTATTATTGCAATTTTTAATTGTTTTATTGCTGTTTCAGATTCGAAAGAGTTTTGGGTCCCTGCGCCGATATTCTCAAGCGAAATATAACCCAGTACAACAGCTTCGTTTCGCTATCGGTATAATAAATTTTCAAAAAAATTTATTATATTTATAATTAATGTACCTACATCATTTCAATTTGTGGTAAAAATGCGATAATTAATATTTTAATATGTTAATACATAAATGTACCAGTGTAATCGGAGAAATGGGAGATGGACACTTCGAGGATTCTTACGTGATGTAATTCATGACTTCCATTGTAACCTTTATATATATATATATATATAATATATATATATAAATTTATTTATATATATATATATATATATTATATATATTATATATACATATAAATTTATATATATATATATATATACATACATAAATTCTCTTTATTATATTTATTTTTTACCCAAATTTCATATGGGTAATTTCAGTCTAAACATTTTACCTAAATCTTTGATTGAAAAATTGATGTACTATAAAATTAATGAAATATTTATAATGTGTGTATAAAATGAATTTCTATGTATATAATTTTATAGTACATCAATATTATATTTATATATATATATATATATATATATATAATATATTACAATTTTATTTACTATTTTTATTATTATACCAGTGAAACATGAAAAAATAGCAACCTACTGATTTTTTGAGGAAAAATTGTACTGAATTTTGAATATGACTGATGTAGTATGTAGATATTGCAATACAAAATATCGTATCCATTTTATGATGCTATAAAAAACTATAGTGCAAAAAAATTAGCTATAATACACAGAATAATATAGTAATACTATTTGTTTAAAATATTTGTTGTAAAACCATGAAAAATCAAAGTTTTTCATCACGAAAAATTGTTATAAATATATAAATTGATTTATATATACATATATATATATATATATATATATATATATTTATAACAAATATAAATATAAATATCACAATTATTCTGTGTATTACAGCAAAGTTTTACTAATTTGTAAATTATTTTTTGCGGATTTTTATTTGGTAAAGAGTCAAATAAGTTTTACGTTTTTGTGTATAAATATATTTTAATATTTATAATATTTTTTCTAATGTATTAAAATAGCTTTTGAAGCATCTTGCGTAATAGAATCGAACAAATTTATTATACTTGAAAATTATATAATATTTAAGTATAAAATTATATAAGGTTGTCAAATATCTCCCTTCCGCCTTTTTGTATTATAAACCAAGAGCAAAAAAGCGGAAGGTAGATATTTGACAACCTAATATTTAACCGAATTATTACTATTTTATTATTTTAGATACTTATTTAACAATTTTATTTAAATAAACTGTTCATTTCTTTTTTTTTGCTTTTTATCAGAAATTAAGTAATTAATTCCAATGGTTATTTTTTTAAACAAATTTATAAATTATGTGACTGTTAAATTTTTTTTATTTTGCTTACAAGTGTTTTTACACAAAAAATACATAAATTACAAATTCGTAAAATTATAAAAAATTTGTTCGATTTCTATTTTTTTTTAATTCGCAAAAATTATTTTACATATTAGTAAATCCTAGACATTTAGATGTTAGAATTTATTATTTAAGTAAAAATACAAGTTTTACTGGTATTTTTAATTTACCATAAATCACATTTTCCATAATTTCATGAATTTAGCATGTTTCTAATTAGCAATTTCTTTAAAATTAGAAAAGCATTTTAGAAAATTCAGTATTTTTGCCAAAAAAAAAATACGAATACATTAATTAGGCTGATAAAATTCATATTGAAAATTCTTTTCATATATAAAATTATTCATCTATGTTTCGTCGCATGTATTTTACTTAAAATTCGGATGAAGAAATTTTAAATGTTGTCTTCTTTGTTATAATTTATTATTGTATATTGTTGAAATTAATTGTACCACATCGTATACAGTCGGTCAACCCTCCTATAACGCGCTGATATAAAATTTAAATACTTTGTGTGTGTAAATTTTTTTTTTAAATATAGTCACTCGGCTAATATTAATGAACACGCTTTATAATTAATATTAGCAGGAAAAATTAGTTGTAATAAATATTGCAAGATGTTTATTTTGTACGTTTCGATACTCAATGCGTGCCATCATTCGGTAGGTCGAACCTGAAAGAAAATATATGAAAATTGAAAAAGATATGATAAAAAATATAAATTATAAATTATATATATATATATATATATATATATATTTAATTCAAGAGTTTATATAAGGATATGATAATAAAATTGACATTTTCTAACTAATTTTAAAGGTGATTTTTTTAGAAATCCATCGAAATTAGTTTAAATTAATAATATTAATGATTTTTTGACATTGTAACGTTTTTGAAATAATTCGCAGTCAAAAAAATACTTTATTGATTATACGTTTCGACGCCTTATGTGTGTCATCATTCAAACCAGGACGAAAACAAAAACTTGAAACACTAATAATAATTTTAAAAAAACTTTGACAAGAAAAAACAACACGTAACTAATATTTAAATAAAAAAAAACTAAGTTCAGATTCGGATTTTGGTTTGTTTGGCTGACTGATGACACACATGTAGTGTCGAAACGTATGATAAATGAAGAATATTTTTTAAACTTTTTTTTAATTTATCGAATGGGCAGCAAATTATTTCAAATATTTATATATATATATATATATATATATATATATATATATATAAAGATAAAATAGTCGATATTAAAACCTTTCACGACAATTTCTAGTTACTAGAGTCATTCATGGGTGTGCGGAAGAATCTTATGGGTTTTTGAACGAAAACAGCGCTATAGGAGTACCGCGTTATATGAGGGTTACCTAAATTAATTGATTGTGTAGCCAAAATAATTTTGAACGTATTTGGAGATGTTCCGACTTTTGGCACTTAAAAGTGCTTTTTAAATACTGTTTTTTAAGCTTCATGAATATATATATATATATATATATATATATATATATATATTTATATATATATATTATATATATATATATGTGTGTCTTTTCTATTTGTGGTACAATTTTAATTATTTACTATAAAATATATATTAACGCGTTCGTTGCCAAACGAGTTGTCTCGTAGACCAAAGATTTTGTTTAGAGGAATATTTTGCTCTTTCTGCTCATTAATTGATCAAAATTCAATTATCTATTTATGGTTTTATTGCTAGAGCATTCGGCAGCCAATGTGTTAATATTATTTCTCCTTAAATATATTATTATGTTAGTAAAGTGGCTGCGCCATTGATATAATTAATCACAAACAAAAATCGAAATAAATTCAGAAACAGGAACAATAGGATCGGTTAGGACAGATATTTCTATTCAAAAAAATACTTTTTACTTAAATAACAGGAGGTAAAATTAACTAAGTTTATTTGTTATGTAATTACAGAATCAAATTGAATGTATATTATTTACTGTTCGTTTTTGAAAAGATTTGGAAGTGTAAAGTGTGTATCAACGAATATTTGTTTATTTTTTGTCCAATCAAAATCTGTTTATACCGTTCCATTTAATGTAATATATTGTGATTATAATAAATAGTAACCCTGGTTGGTAAAAACATAGTTTTCTTTAAAGTTGGTCAAAAAACTAGCTGTAAATGACTTTTTGCCTTAGTCAAAGGCCTTAAAGTTGCTTGAACTTTAAGAATCAAAATTTGGCTATTTAGAAAAAAAAATTAACAATTATAAATAAATACTCATACGATAATATAGTATATAAATTATGTTGTATATATTAATTGAAATATCGAATTTTTTAAATATTATTTATTCCAGTAGGGTAAGTTATAGTAATCGCGAAAAAATCGAAAATTAAAATTTCTATATATTTATATTTATATTATATATGTTTATATTTACATCTTTGCGTTTTAATGGTTAATTCCATTACGGTACGGAAAGTTTCAGCAATTTGCCTTAAGGCACGATGCCATACACCACTAGTTTTATTTTACAATTATATATAAAAAGGCACAAATTAATAAGACGCAAATACAAATAAAAACGTATTTAATACAAATAATACTTCACAATCAAATCAAATATATGAATCAAACAGAACTAGATGCAAATATTAGCAGTAATAATTTCGACCATCTCGCCACGAAGGTTGAATTATGACTGATTGTGAGGTACAATAAACATTTCGTATTGCACCCTCTATGGTTCCGTACCCGAAACTATTCAATTAGATAACAATTTTTGATTTTTTGAATTTTAGTATCATGTGGTAACAATTCATAGTTTTGTCCCTTTCTGACCCCAATAAAAGAGGTTCGCAATAAAAACTAAAATCATTCTTTATTTGGACCTCTCGGTGAACACTACACTACAGCCAGTGGTAAGTCTTTTGAAAAATATTTATGTATTATGTAATCATTTCGTGCATTCAGTTTCAAATACGTGTCATGGAACTTGTTGTTTTGGTTTATTTGATTTGACTTGATTTTCTGTTGAATTATAATTATAAGAATGTAAATAAATTGAAGTAAAAATTTGTCTCTTTAATATTAAACGATTTGCGGCGTTACATTTTCTAATCGACTATATTTGTGCTGAAATATTGTTGTGAAAATATTTAATTTTAGCCTTTGAGTTAACATAAATCTTTAGATTATTAAATTAAAATATAATTAAATAATATTAAATTTTAATATAAAATTACTTATGTTTCAAATATTTACGATTGACTACATTTGTTTTGTTTCAGATTTCATACAGTGTTTTGCGCAGTGGCGGATTGCATTAGGGATTTATTGTGCATGATTTTTTTTTTTATTCAATCACATTGACAATTTTTATTTATTTTTTATAATTTTGTTAAATTATAAGTTTGAGTTATTTGCGTCCACATTTTAATTTTTTTTGTTCGTGCGAGGATTTGTTCGTAATTTTAATGTCGTTTGAAACGATTTTCGCGTTTAAATGTGTTCCTGTCGCCTACCCCCCACGGCAGGTTCTAGTAATTCGCGTTTCGTTAATAAATTTTTTTTTTTCATTCGGTGTATGGGTCCTTGCGATGTTTTTCCCAGAAGCAACGCAACCCCATACACTTTAATTTCTAATTAATATTATATGTACAATGTTTAATTTTTTGGAATTATTTTACTAGTAGCATGGATGTAAATAACTTGTTTAAAAATCTAAAAACTTTGTTAAATAAATTACTTGTTTTTATTTTGACTGATTTTTCTGCTGCAATGCAATGAATATGTTTTAATTAAATAACTTGAATTTTTTGTGATTGCACAATAAGTGTCCTATACGGAGAAATGTTGAAGATGTACTGTTTGAAGTTAAAAAAAAGGTAAGATGATACAAAACCTTAAATTATGTAAAACAATAACAAAATTAACATTTATGTTAGTGTAAACGGGCCTCGACTAAAGATACCAGGGGGTTGAGTACTACAACAACGAACAGGAGAACATGTGTACCGATATGATGTATCAGACCATTGGAATAAATACGAGTAGGCTATCACATACTATTTATAAGTCATTGTCTATTTCATTTTTTTCAAGTCACTTTTCATTTCAGGGTTGCAGAATTAATTTCTCACCAGGACTGCTAGGAGATTGTGGTGGATTGAAAAGGTTGAAGGAACCCTTTTTGGGGTACAACGACTGCTACTTGGTACATCTTAGCATTGCGTTTACCAATATACAGGGTTTACCTTGGCGCCCCAATCTGACTTAATAAAAACCGGTAATTATCTGTAGAGTGCGTAACTAACTACACGAATGAAACAGAATCTATACTTATTAACTTATTTAATGTTACCTAGTTGTGTTCGTCGTAGGTGCGAAGATATGACTGTATTTTTGTAGTCATGTCTTAAGTCTAAATTCTGATATACTATTGTTTTGGTTGATCAAAAAGCTTGAAATTATAGATGTGTATGATACGGCGTGATGACAAAGGGGATCGCATACAATCGGAGAATTCTCACTTTTTCTGGATTGTGTGTTCTTCGCCCATGGAACAACCCTTTCAGTTCACCTCAATATGGATACCTACAGGTTTTCTCGTATTCATAATTTAATATTAAGTAATTAGACCTTGGTTAGATATAAGTATATAATATTTTTATTTTTGTTACCGGGGCCCCGTTTGTATGTTTGCCCCTATTTTTAGGGGCACTTGTGTTTTTTATGTCATTTCAGATGTTTTTCCAAGAAAATTGCTTACCAAGTGAGTACTAAGAACCACTTCCACAACCCATAGGAGAAATTGGTCAGACTAATTGATGTACCAAGACACTAAAATTATTGGCATACTGCTAAGTAACATGTATAAATGTTTTCTTTTTATTTCAGGGTTACAGAATTGATTGCTTTTCGCACCACAAAGCACAAAGACTTCCAAATAACTGCTAGGAGGATATGCATATTTAAAGGTTTTTACTCTATTGTTGTTAATTTGATCTTATTATTATTTATTAATATAACCGGGGCCCCGTTTATTTGTTTGTCCCTATTTTTAGGGGCATTTGTGTTTTTTCATTTCAGATGTCTTTCAAAGAAGACATTATATTGTATGTCTATATGTTTTACCAAGATCTACTAGAACCACCAAGAGACCACTACCGAATTAAAGGATATGTACAGGTGGGTACCAACAATTACTTCTACAACCGATACAAATAAATGTAATGAAATTCTATGCTTACTTCTTTTTAGGTCTTGCACGAGATTTGGCAGAAAATATCATCAACTCGGAACCTACTAGCACCACTACTACATGAACTACCGCCTACAACTGAATTGGATGATATGACATAATCGAAAGGAAAATTAACGGCATTAACTGTGAGATAAGACTTTCTATTATTATAGTAGTATTTCGTTAATATCAGGTTAGATGACGTTTTGACATTAAAATCTTCGGTCGTACCTTTTTTGGCGTATTCGTTCGCGTACTTTTATTCAGAGCTCAAAAGGGTGGCGTCATGAAAGAACTTCTCTTATATTTTTCGCGCTCTTCTTTACATTAATTAATTAATTATCATTTGTCATAAACTTCATAGGCTGGGAACCTATGAAGTTTTTTTTCAAGTGTTTACATGGTGGATCTGGGGGGTACATCATGTAAATGCTCTTTTTTTATAAATTTGCAATCACCGCTAAAATACTACAGTACACATTTATATTGATTTTTTTCTTTGCCGCGAGAGGTTCTTTCATTTTTAAAAACCGAAATTTTTGGGTACATTAGGTCATTTCGCGGGGGTTGTTCTTTTCGCGATATATTCGGGTCAGTTAGGTATAATTAGTATGTAAGTTAGTTTAAGTGGATTAGGGCTGCACAAATCGATACTTAGTAGTATTTACACTATATCCATTTCTATCTGAAATGTTAGAAACGTAAATATGAATAAAAGTATCTATTTCTGTGGCGACACCACATTAAAAAAAACGCGCCTGGCAACTCTACCCCATGGGTGGTGAGGAAAAGAGTTGCATCATAATTAAGTACATATAATTATCAAAATTAAACTATTTGAATAATTATGTTAATTAATAAACACAAATGTATCAATATGTGTCAAAATATCTTAAAATAAATTTTTTGCGAAATAATCTTTGCTTTTTAATATGTGGTTAATGTTATTTTTAAATTTTTTTTCAGAACTTCATAAAGAATTATTAGATGCTCTCAGAAAGAATATTGCCAATAATTAGTAATTTTGAATTAGTTGAAAAAATACTATAAATATATTTATAGTATTTTTTCAACTAATTCAAAATTACTTTGTAGTATACTACAATGCGAAGAGTTTTATGGTTTTTGATAAAATATATTTTCTCTTTGCATTGTAGTATTTTTTCAACCTCTAATTCATAATCAATAACTATTATTCTTTTTAAAAGCATCTAATAATTCTTCAGTGAGATTTAAAACCTTTAGTCAGGATTAAAAATAAAATTTGAATTTTTTTCAATATACACAAAAAGAATTCTTTAATTTTTTTTAAATTAAATTCATAAACTTTACTTAATAATTTAGACAAGTTAATTATATGTTCATCTAGTACAATTAATAACATTTCTTTAATAAAATTCAAAATATGATATATATATATATATATATATATATATATTTATAGGTATTTACAATATTAAGATGTTAAAATTATTATTATGTAATATTTTATTTAAGATGAATTTTTGTTTTTAATAATTTTTATCAAAATATATATATTACAAATGATAGATTAAATAATTATCAAATAACTATGTATTACGTACAATTGTACAATTGAATATATTTTTCCAAAATAAGAGTTTATGATTGAATTAAAATTTATTTTTAATTAATTTATAAATTTAATAGTAAATTTACTAAATAATTATTTATCAGTAATTAAATTACTTTAGGTTAATTATTAGAAATTTATGAGAAATTTTATTTATTATAGATTTTTCTTTGATATTTTTTAAACCAGGCAATTAAAAATATATGTTTTAATAAATAAAATGATTTATTAAAATTGTTTAATTTTTTTTTAATTCTAATAAATTTTTGAATTTTCTGCTTTAAGATGTTGTTTATCATTTTGAAACAAATTATATATAAAATGAATATTTCAGATTAATGAAAACAAAAATTATATTTTTGTTTTCAATTTTATCAGATTGTTGCAGATATTAATTAGAAATTAATTATAATTATTATTTGTAATAACATTTACTGTGATGTTTTATATCATACAATGTACATGATAGATTTTATATATATTTTAATAAATGAAACATAATGAACCAATATTTTGTCATTATTTTTTAGTTTTTTTTTTTCAGGAGTAATTATTTTTAAATTACGAAATTTCAACAAAAAATGTATTTTTCATGTTTACCTAATATCATGTTTTATAAAATTTAAATTTGGTGCCAAAAGTACAAACAAAAAAACAGTAGCATTACCAAAAGATGGCCATGATAACATATTGTGGAAAATAGTTTAGTTCTAATTAGATTCCACGAAAAATCCCTTGTGCTTCCTATTGGAATGAATTTAATAAATTTGTGGACATTTTTAGTGATATGTGTGTTTCAGTAAAATACAGTTTATTGTAATAATATTTACTGTGATTTTCTATACTAGATAAAACGTGTAAAACTTATAGCTAAGAGTAAAAACAGAAGTCTAAGTTTTCCCAAGATTTTGCGTTTGCCAGTTAACCTGGAACGACGCGTCGATACAGGTTGCGTGCACTTTTAGGCAAAAACTAGCCCCTAACTGTATTTATTAGGAAAACAATATACAATATGAAGTCAAATAATAAAATATGACTTGTAATACTATTATAAATATTTTTTAATTAAATCGAGTACAACCCTATGTTTATATTACGAATATTGCATATTGCAAACTTGGACATATTGTAGCGAGTTCAATCCTAATTTATTTGAACTTTTCGTATCGGAGTGTTTGTGATAGATAATTAGGATATAAAGTAAATTTTATCTAGTTTGTGCTAAGTTAACTAGAAAAAAGTGTCCGGTACAAAGTTTTCGAGTTATTCAAAAAAATGCAGAAAAATTTTAAACGCCCTTGGAATTTATTAACAATGTTACGAGTATTTATCATAATTTCAATAAATAATATTAATAATTTTTAATAAATTTTTTTTCATAACTATTAAAGTAAATGAAATAAAATACATTTTTCTACGCCCTTGAAATTTTATTAACAATATTGCTATAAAAGGATTAATAAATTATTTAAATTCAAATATGAAGTTTTAAGCTATTTAAATGAATAACTTTTCGCTATTTTTGTATTTTTTACTTATAATAAAATAATAATAATAATAAAAGTAATAAAAAAAAATTACAATACATCAATAAAAATAACACTAACCAAATATACACATTTGGAACTATTATTTATTATTATAAATAACATACTTATTCAATAAAGAAACAAATTCAATTAATTTTTTTTTAATCATAAAAATTTAACTCTGTTGAGTTTATTCAAAGTCATTTTTATAAAATTCAAATTTGGTGCCAAATGTACAAACAAAAAAACAGTAGCATTACCAAAAGATTTGAAAGCATTTTTTTGTGTCATGATAACATATTGTGGAAAATAGTTTTTAGATTCCACGAAAAATCCCATCTGTTTCGCATTGGAATGAATTTAGTAAATTTGTGAACATTTTTGGTAATATTTGTGTTTCAGTAAAATACAGTTTGTAGTAATAATATTTACTGTGATTTCCTATACTAGGCAAAACATGTCTTTACTAATTTAAGATAATTTTTTAATTGAAAAACAAATTAATCAGTGTTTTACCAAAATCTTTGACACATGCGTAAAAGTTAAACAAATTAAAATTCCGTTCCGTTGGTTTTATCTAAAGTTATTTTTATTAAATTTAAATTTGGTGCCAAAAGTACATACAAAACAATATTATTACACAAAGATGGCATTTGTTTGTGTCATGACTAAATGTTATATACACAGGTCAGTTCTAATAAGATTCTACGAAGAATCCCACGTGTTTTCTATTGGGTTTAATAAATTCGTGGACATTTTAGTAAAATACAGTTTAAAAATATATTAAATGAATGGCAATTTCATTTGATATAAATTCAGTAAATTTGTAGACATTTTTAGTGATATTTGTTTTTATAAAAATATACTGTTTTTATAGAAATATTTGATATCATGAAGAAATGGTATCATTTTTGTTCGTGTTGAATGTAGTAAATTTGTGGACATTTTTAGTGATGTTTGTGTTTGAGAAAAATATATTTTGAAGATATACCAAGGAAATGGCTGTATGTATGTACTGAATTTTTACATTAATTCTACTAAAAATCTAGTATTAAAATTTATAATTTTCATTAATTTTATTATTGGATTTTCACATGTATTGCTTTATTATTTATTTTTGTGTTTCCTAATTACTTCTGTTATTAATAATTTTTGTCATTATTATTATAAATTATTACTAATATTACTAATTAGTATAATTATTATTTTATATATTTTTGGTATTTTTTTATTTTAATATTGCATTATTTTTTCATAATAGAATTTTAATGGAAATACTATTCTTTATTTTATACTTGTATGTTTTTTTAACTTCCCGTAGGGAAGTTTCATAAAAATGAAAATTTTTATATATCTTTACGTTTCAAAGGTTTCTGAACATTCTGGCATACCTTAGAAAAAATGGATGTATGTGTGTGTGTGTGTGTATGTGTGTGTATGTATGTGCGGATACAAATTTTCGTCGACGATTTCGGGAACACGGATCAACCGATTTGAATAATTCAAAAAACATTCGATTCGTATTGATAAGAAGACGTGCTGATTAGTTTTTGGCAAAGGCAGGTCTAGCCGTTCCAAAGATACGGGGCAAAAAGTGCCGAAAACGGTAACTCAGTTTTTAAGAGAACGGAGCGTCCGATTTTAATAATTCAAAAAACATTTTACTTATATTAACAAGGTGAAGAACCGATCAAATTTTCATAAAGGCAGGTCTAGCGGTTTCGGAGATCTAATGAAAAAAGTAAAAAAAAATGCCATTTGGCGGTCAAAAATGATCATTAGACTTATGCACATCAAATTATCAGATATTTTATAGAGATTTTAACAATAAGTATGAATTTGGTTTACAGTCCTATGGGTTCCGTACCAATGTTTACGCGTTAGACGGCGACGCGGCGCTTACGCGCTCTGATACTTCGTCTTTATGCAGTTAAAGCAGTACGATTGCTTTGAAAAAAAGTTTAGATTTTC